CGCACGAGATGAAAGTATTCTGCTCGTCGGGACCAGGCTGCGTGCGGCCACACGACGCAGCGCACGGTGAACGGTAAACATTGCATTCGGCCGACACCGCTAGCAACCCCTGCGGAGAGAATTTTGGTTTGACCGTGCCCCTGGTTAAGCTGGGCGACCACTCGAGTGTGGGACTAACGCGAGCTACTCTCGAGAGCATTTTTCGTAAATGGACACTGCGTTGGAGTGTTTGACACGTTCGAGACCGGTAACGTAATTCTACGTCCTTTGAAGTTCCTTAGTTAAATACTGTAGTCCTGCGTCAGTCTTCGTTGTTCCTGTCACGTGGTCCAACGTGAATTTATATCTATTAGAAGAGATTCGCTTAATCTTTCATTTCGAAATCTGTAGCTAAAATAATTAAAATCCGCACGTTCGAATAGCAGACGCTCGCATTCGGCTGTACAGTTTGTAGTGACCTCTGCGAAGAGTGTCTACCTAAATTGTAAGATTGAATCGATGCAGTTTGCCATAGTAATCATTCACGTTTTTCTATTTGCTGTCTTATTGGCCTCCAAATATTTCGAATGTTTCAAACTTTACGAATATATATTCCAGTTTCCATCGAGATTGCAATTTAAATAGCGAACGGAAATTACTTTCTCCGTGTGGCTAATGTATTTGTACCGCGAAGCATCGCCGTTTCTTTGTGACGAGTATACTCGTCGATCGGAGCCAACTGGCGAAGAGCATTGTCCAACCGGATGTACCTTGAAGGCAGTGTCCATTGAAATGTTGCGGAGAGTAGCGAGTCCCGATAATTTCACGCTCGAGTAGCCGCGCACCCTTACGCCCTGTTCTTTTAACCCCAGTATCCTCAGCTCGAAGGGGATGCATGCAAGTGTTCCTTCTTCCTCGGAGTGCGATCAGTTGTGTCGAGTGAGCTGTGCAACTTGTTTGACCCAAACGAGCTCTAACCGTTAGAATACAGTGCTCTCGCATGTTTAGAGTCTAGCTTTGTCCTTGTTGTCCGTTGCATGGGCTGGAGTTTCCTTAGTTTAGAAACCTTCGACCATTATCGATGAACTGTCCGAAGGCTGCGCGAGATTTGCGGACTGCGGATCCTCGCGCGGACGGAAATCTCGTTCAAGCGGAGCTCCTTTATCTCGCCCGTAGACGAGAAGAAGTCGAATAAACTGAATTCGGGTGACAACTCGCTGGTCAGGCTCGGAAATGAATTTTCACGGTGACTCATCGAACGAACCATTGATCGAGCGAGGTCAATCAAGTCACAGGGCGAGTCGGATGGAAATAAGAATTCAATTTGCATTTGTTGTGTCGTAGATTTTATTTATTTCTCACGTTCCGCTTATTATTTGCGAAAGAAAGATCGGAAAAGTCATTTCCGCTTCTTGTTATCGAGTTTTAGTGTCTTTATTACTCGGATTCCATGAAGGTCTATATGAAACGACGATGTTGAGACAGTAACAGCTATGCAGGATTGCAATATTTCATTCTCTATTTTATTCAATAGTATATACTCTCATTTCGTGAGATTTCTACTAGTTTCAATTTGACGGTCATCGTGCCGAAGTTCGTTAACACTGGGTTTACAGACATTTACTGTGCGGTTTATTGGATTGTTCCTCGATAAATTGATAATCGTTCATTTAGACCTTGGAAGTTATATATTTGAAAACAGACGATTAAAATACACATTCGTATGATCAGACCGTTCAAAATCAAGGTAAACATTTACGAAATACCGCTCTCAAAGCTCAATACGCGTCAGATTGACGCGTACCGTAAACCCAGCGTTGAACGTCCTTGCATTCTCAAAATTGCCGCATAAAATCCGCAGTCCAGCGACCAGTTGTCTCGTCGGCTAGTTCAAGATCGATTTGTCGACGTTCCGCAGAAGAATGGAGCATTCGTCGACCGTTAGTTCAGGGACAATTTAATCGCACGCTTGAAACGCATACTCAAGTTTTGATTCGATGGTCAACTCCGAAACCTAGCTTTCGCTTCGCGCGGTATCACGCGAGGCGCTGGAGAACGAACCATCGATCGGCGAAAGCAAATTAAACAATGAAATTGAACGTTCCCCGTTGTTCGTTGAAACTAGTCGGCGTTCGTTGAACACGAAGAAGGAAGTCGCTTCGATCGCGTTACCGATTCCTCTGCGTTTAGGAGAGGTAGACAGTTTAGAGCTGTTCACTTGGAACAAGTGTCTTTATCTTTTTTCGCTAAACGCGAAGAGTCGTTTCTTCATGGAGAAACACCGACGGCAACAACAGTACCCGTTGAGAAATAGGATTTTCTACATCGGCCGGTTGGCTTGCGCAAGTATTGAGCGTTATCGCGCAGGAAGACGAGAAGTTTGAAGTATCGTTCAGAAATAGCATCCGCCACTGTTTATCTAACGCAGTTTATTCTTAGGCGCACGAAACGTTTCAATATTCATAATCTCGCTATTGGCGAACCATCGGGGACAATGTTCACTGAATTGCGCATACCAATTCAATCGAGATCGACGTTCGTTCGCATCTTGCGCGAAGGAGCAGATCGCACTCGCGGATTATCCTCTTTTTAGGAACGATTGTCCGAGACAATCACCAGCACTGAATATATCAAAGTCTATACTTTAATCCCTGCCGTATCTCCTCTAGTCTCCGATGACGAAACATCGCTGATCGCAGACGATCGCGTGTGTTCACCGTCTCCGTTTCTTTGTTCTTCGAACGAAAGTACATACTTACATACCACGACTCGACACCGTTGGTTCAGGATCCTCGCGTTATCTGCTTCTAGAGGGCAAATATTTTTCGCGGGGCTGGAGATATCGATGCTATCGAATAAAAGAAGGTTAGAAACGATAAGGCTGATTATTCAGTCGAAGACTGAATGTAGATTCTCCGCGTGTTCCCAGTAAACAATGCGAAACTGGAAATATCGATAATCTTAATACCTTGACGCTCACTTTGAAATTGGCGATGAACAATAAAAGCGATTCCTTTTTTTCTCGTTAATCGATTCTTGGGGAGTTCGATCAAGATTTCATACTTAGAATAAAATTATTATATTTTGTTATTTATAATACTAAGAATGTATTCCCGTCGTTTGCACCTACAAGCAGATGTTACTCGGTAAAAGAAAATTTTGATCGTGAATTCGATTTCGAATGCGAATACGTAGAACGCAGGTACAGTTTTGTTCGTAGCATTCCTGAGGAACGGCGCGTTGCGTGGCGTCGAACGATCCTGCGGTGTATCATCTGCCTGAAATTTGGGATACGCCCTTCCAGTCCCTTCCGAGAGTCCAGGTATATCTGCTCCGTTCCCGGAGCTCAATAAAAGCAATCCATAACTCTGCAGGGAAAGGAAAATCTTGGGGTTCCTCGGCCGCCGCGTTGCCAACTTCTAACGGGATTCGTAAAATTGTAATTCCCTTCGCTTGACCGGCTTCCAGGAAAAAAGAAAGAAAAAAGAAAAAGGTC